CTTCCCATCATGCAGTGCTGTTGTATTAGGAATGTGAAGATGGGAGGTAGGAATGGAAAGATTCATTTAAACATAAAAAAAATATCTAATCACAGAAAGCAAATAATTTGTAGGAGTCATGGTACTTCCGTGTCAGTGGTTTCAGATGTTATATTTATTACTTTTTTTCTGAGGTCTTGAAAGCCCTCGATAGCATGTGAGAATTGATAACTGTGTGAGAGCTGGGAGTAGCTATGACGATAGGAAGGGAGCGGCAAGTGAAGTGAACCAGCCTTGTTCTCTTTATTCCACTTAGTTTTGTATGAGCTGCATATAATGGCCTTCAGGAAATCAAACTCTGCGTTCTGATTGTGTCAATAAGAGCCATTTGCTGGGCAGGCAGGTTGGGTTGGTCCTTTTGCAGCCCTTCATCTGCTGGTCTCAGCTGTGGGCGTGAGGAAGAAGTTGTAGTTCTACATTGCAGGACTTTCCAAGGGTGGAGACCATTGCCACTTCTTCTTTGGCTCCATATTCCCACTGACTGTTCAGAGATGTGAAATTCTCTTCTGACACAGAACTTTTTCAACATCTTTAAGAAATCTGTGTCAGGTGATAGGGAAATTCACTGACATGGAGATTTCTCATGGACCTTTTCTACCTAAATTCTATTCTGAGGGAGTATTGTATGAGGCAGAGATGTGTAGACCATAGTGCTCATCTTGAAAGTTTGAGGTGTGGTTAAGTCCCAGGAAGTTTCCACTCAAAAAAGAGCAGGGTATATGGTTATCTGAGACTGACTCAGTTGTCACCAGCTAGCCCAGATGTAGTGGTATTGTAGTGTACTTTGAGTGATGTGAAACAAATAGAAAGTGATGCACTGTTAAATGTACATGAAGGATTTTCATTGTCCTCCCATGACAAAACAGAGAATTTACTTCCTTCTGATAATACTTGTAAACAGGTTTTTTTCCCTTATCACTGAAAGCTGTACAAACCAGTTTATAGTATCAGGCTTGTTAAACTAAGTTTTACAAAGTGTCTTCCTTCTATTAAGGCTTTGTGATAACTACCAAGTAAATAGTGTCAAACTTGACTACGTGCTTGCCAAGAGTTGTGGACAATTCTTTTTGTTGATGCTTATTGAACTACAGGCTACCTTTATGATAAAACTATAATCAATCATGCAACTTCAACCTTATTAAGGGCAAAATTTACAATTTTAATAAAAAATTCATCTGAGAGAAACACATTTTTGATGGTTGCAGTGATCAGAAAACATAAAAGCAGCATGAGGAAAGTATACAGAATTAATCTCTGAAGATATAGTTTATTTCCAGGCTTTCCTTTGAGATGCTGGAGGGGCAGACAGGAGCAAATGACACTTGCTTTAGGCTAGTATTGGAGTGCAACTTAATTGTTTGAACCCCATATGTATAGTGAATAAATGCAAGGTTTTTGGATTTTTTTGTTTTGCTTGATTTTCTGTGAAAAAGTACATTCCATTTTCATAACAAAAGGTAGTGGCCATTAGAATCACAATTATAATGAAGAGTTAGGGGTTTAGATAAATAATTAATTCCTGTTTGTTTTGAAATCTCTTAACTTTTTATGTTGAAATTTATCAGATTTAAATCATGGTGTAAAAGATACTCTGTTTCCAGAAGGGAAATATAAGTATTTACATGTAAAAAATCATTACATGTATTTAGCATCTTTTCTTAAAGTGTATATGTACTGTACAATGAACCAGCTCAAATGAAAATCCTGTACCTTTTGATACTTCTTATTTCAGATACTTCTGAGAATTCATCAGCACTATATGTTGTAAATGTTGAAAGAAATGGAAAAATTATTTATACCTGGAAGGTAAGTCTCTCTTGAAACTTTATAAAAATATAGTTGAGAATAACACTACGTGTGAATCTAATTAAGTTCTTGTAGTTTAATTTTTTTTTTGCATTGAGGTTTAGAAAACGAAAACTCGACTGATTACAACTTGGGGGGTTGGGCAGTAGGAAAGTGTCTGTCTCCACTTCAGACAAAGGTTAAGAATGATGAAATGGAGAGTAAAGTACTGACTTGATTAAGTCCATAGAGTTTTTACCCTTGAGTTTTTGGTGGGCCAGAATCTCATGCTGAATGAAGGGCAATTTCTTTAACAGCTAACTCTTCGTAAGTGGCACATTTTTTCACCCTCAGAATTTCTTAGGGAAGTCTAAACTATTAAATTCATTGCACTGCTTTACTTAAGTGTTTTCTTCTACCAGTATATATGTGTTAAGATACCATTCATCTAACACTATTTCTGCATGTACCTTTCTTCTCTGTGTCTTCAAGATTCTTCTGTAGCACTTTATTGCAAGTAAAGTAACCATTATTTATTTGATATCTTGAAGTATCTAGAGAGCCTTAACATAGGATTCTGCTCTCCATGGCATATGTTTAGCTTCTAGTTCCAAGAGATTTTTGAAATAGTTTCAGAAGGTGATGCCTTGTCTTGTTCCCTTGATGAGAGAAGCTGTGCTTCTTGACTGTGCAGCTCAGAGGTGTCTGTAGACCCAGCTGGATCCTGGAGGATCTTGCTTCTTTAAGAGTGCAGATCTGAGATGAACTCCAATATAGTAGGGCTGCCTTTCGTTCCCCTCTGGCACAACAATGCTGAAACTCTGCAGCTTGCCTAGGGTTAAGGGAAGAGGTGAGGTCTTCATCAAGGTGTAATACTGTGGGTGGATGTTTCCTTTAGTACAAGCATAGGGAGGGGAGTCTCTACAAGACAACAGTAACCATAAAAACAATACTAAAAAATGTATCGAATTGTTGTTTCTTTTTCATCGCTCAAAACTCTGGAAGACTTAGTTCAAGTAACTAACTAGCTCAGTAGGAGACCTGGTGCTGTGTGTATGTGATGTTGCTGCTTTGTAGCATCTGTGGAATCTCACACAAAGCTTTTTTGGGCCTCTGACAGCCTAACTGCCTTGTACGCTCTTTAGGCTCTTGCAACTGGCACAAGGGATGAGTTGTAGCTCAGGGTTCGCACATCTAAACACAGGTGGCTGCCCATGCTGGCTGTCTGAGCTCCCATTGTGGTTCATAGGGGTCTGGTCAAAACAGGTGATGGAGTTCACGGAACTGGGCACTTGTAGCTTGTTTTTTGAGAGCAGTTGTATGGGGTGGAGGGTGTAAACTAAACTGAGCTGCCCTGGCTTGGTTCCTAATACATACAAATAGAAAGCAACCTTTGTTTTCTGCGTGAGAGAAAGTCAAGTGTGTTTCGTGTGAAACTAGGGGAAGGTGTAGAATGAACTTTATTTTCAAGCTAATTTTAGAGTATTGCGTTGTACTGTGGTTTTGACAGTATCTGTCTTTTCTGACATTGATAGCCAGTGTCAAGGAAGATATTTTTAACAGAAGTGAATTCTATTTGCAAGGCAATGCAGGAATCTTTAGAGAGCACATGAAAACCAGTGTCTTAGCTTATGCATGCTTATGGGCATTGATGTAGTTCTGTTACCAGTCTTGTGAAGTGTATTTTTCAGTGTCTAAGTACAGGGGGTGTTAGCGTTTCAGACACACTTGGAAAGAATGGTTATTTGTGAAAGCACTTGCTTAATCTTAAATTAGGAGGCCTGGAGCCTGTGTCTTAATATAAAGACATTTTGTTTTCCTTGTTTAAATCAGAAGTCAAAGACTTTTGTCATTGCCACAACAATAATGAGACACTCAGAAATAGACCCCTTAGGAAGCGAATACTCAGGCTTTTGTTTTAACTTCACAAAGCAAGATGCCATAACTTTGTAAATAACCACAGATCTCTCCCCTCTTCCCCCAAGCTGTAGTTAAAAACAATGATGCTCACTGTTTGAGTACAAGCCTTTGTGGCTGGATTTAATTTCAACAGTTTAGTGATTTAGTGCCTATACCTAGAGTACATTAATAGACATCAGTTTGATTTGATATACAGTATATGCTGCTAGCAGAATTTTCTTTTTCGATATATTTGGAAAATTTAGGGCATGGTAAAAGTTAACGAGAAGAAAATTTGATCTGTGTAGCCTCAAACATTTCTAAGTGCCCCAAACAAAATTATTGTATGTTATTATCAATAAGCTAGAAAGGATGTGTATTATGTTTCTCTTCAAAGGCAGAAGGCTTATGGTAAGCTTGTGAAATGTGTTTAGCCTTCAAACAATCACTTCTTAAGGCAGAGAGAAATCCTCTTTCCAGGCTGCAACTAGATCACTGGGAGCTGGGGTTTTTTTGGATGTTTGATGTTTATGTGCTCCCTTTTGGAGCAATAACCCACCAAGTTGGTGAATTTTGGAATACTAGCCTTAAATCTCCAGGGGCCATAGCATCCGTTTTGATTCTTGTACAGACATCTCTCTTCCCGACCCTGCTGCCTTTAGAAGCAAAGTGAGAGAGAGGCACTTGGCTTATGCAATGGCTTGTGGGCCGTGGATTGGCCACATTTCAGCTTTATCCCATGTGTTAGTTCTAAAAGGAAAAAATAAATCTTTGTTCTCTTGGAATTAGAATTTGCTTTCTTGGAATTAGATAATTAACTGTCTGTTTATAGGACAGGGAAGTGTGCAAAGATGTGTGTCAAGGGGCAGGGAGAAGAAGGAGATACGAAAAAAAATAAAAGCAATGTTTAACTTTGTATGTATTTATATTGCCAGTGCTAATTTGTTTCCATCCATAGGGAAGTCAGAGAAATACTCATATTGGATTGTACGATCTTCAAACTAAACAAAATGAGGTGAGAGCAATACCAGTTTTCTCTCTGGTGAAGGTGGTGCTGTAGTGTTTCAGATTTTGGTGCCTTGCAACACAGTGTGTTATGTCCTTAAGAGGTATATCCTTGTTTGAAACAGAAGAGACTGGAGAAGGTATTCAAATGATTCTCAGGAGTATTAAAATGCAGAACATTATAGAATATCTGAAAGGCTTAAGAGTAGTAAAGCATCACCTCTGCAATCTTTATTTCAAAACAACCAATTCAAGTCCTTTCCACTTCTCTTCACACTGAACATGTGTGCTAAGAAGTAAACGTTTGCGGTTTTCTTTACGTGTGCATTCTCAGTCTGTTTGATGCTACCATTTATAAGAAATTATTTTATTCTAAAGCTGAACATACTGCAATTCAGTAAGTAGATTCATGATAACAGGACTTTGCAGGTGTCCCCATAACAGTATGAAATAGGTGAAATTTTGTTTTTACATAAAAGTCTGCTGCGCTGCTCAAGTGGCAATACAGAACTCACAAGAACCAGTAAGAAAAAAACAAATGAGAAAAAGGAGAACTGATACAGCTGAGGCTTGAAATATGGTTCTTCTGACCATGAAAAGATTTGGTTTAAAGATAAAACCTGTGTACTGGACAGCAGTGTTTTCCTAAGGAGAAGTGATTAGATGGTTTCCTTTATGTAGTTTAAGCAATTGCATTTATTAACGCTACCGTGTTTCTCTGTAGCACCTCTATACCTTTGAGAAGGATCTACACATAATCAGCTGTTCGGTCAATAACGAAAGGACATTATTGGGTAAATATGTGTTTTATCTTTAAATTTTTTTGGTAAAGATTTAGTTTAGTAGGATCATACATTTGAGTGTAGAATTAGTTAAATCTATTTTGACCTATCTGTTGCCCACAGCACTTTATGCCCTTCAGTGGATCCATCACCAAATAATGTAGGTAACAATATAAAGACACAACTGTAATGATATTTCTGTTTTATTAAAATGAAAGTCTAAGACACACTGACCCTTTGTTCACTTCCTCCTTCCTGTATTTGTGCCTGCCTGCTACTTCCAGCAGAACAGCTGTTGTTCCTTTAGCATATATGTTTCTGGTAGAAAAATTGTGATGCTTGCTCTTCATGAATGTTTAATAAGATTTGTATCAAATAGGCAAACTCACTGTGATTGTGTTGGTGTTTTTCCCCCCCCTTAGCTGTCAGCTTCCATCAATACACAGAGGACGAAACAGCAAGTCAGCTATTACAGTCAGGTACTGCAAGTGGGTTGTTTTAATACTCTTTGTAATATCATACCCTTTTGCTTGCTTTCCCATAAAATTTCTGTTTAGAAAACAAAATCGTATACATAAAGTGTTATCCAAAACATACTTTTTTTCAGTATCCAAGTATTTAACCCTGCTAATTGAAATTCATCCCATTAATAATGTGAGAGTCCTGAAGGCTGTGGATAGCTGTGTTCGAGTGCAGGTAAATTATTCAACTAATCTAAAGATAAGCCTTTGTAATCCACTATACTAGGGGGAAAACATGGTTGAGTGCATGGTTATCTTGCAGCTGTTACAGAGATAGTGTCCTCGTGTTCCTTCATAGAATTAAAAAAATGAAACTTCATAAAATGTTTGATGCAGAATATTTCTCTGACATGAAGGCTGCTTTTTTATTTCTGTTTAATCCCCCAAAGCTTGCCATTATAGTGATTGGTGACTGTTAGTATGTAATAATAGTTATTCTTATTAATTAAATATAATTATTTTGTCTGACTGAATTTAGACATATGTAAATATCCAGCTAAAACCCACCCATTTTAGATAAGTGTTCTAAACTATTTTGGTTATTTACTTAACTTTTGGGAAACTTTCTGTGTAGTTTCTTTATCCAGTTGAAGACAGAAATGCTTCTACAGAAAGTCGCCTCTTGCTAGTTTCAGAAGATAAATGTGAGTTAATATTTTCAAAGTAAATATTCATTCTTTTAGTTCAAGGTGATCATTATAGATTATATTTTTGGAAGCCTTTTATTGGGAAAAAACAGGAAAAAGAAGGGTGCAAGCTATTCTAGGTATTCTGAAGGTCTTTTAAGAACTGTATCATTTACTGGACTTTTTTCATTTTTAACTGAATGACCATCTTTGACTGCAATTAGTTACTTAGTTAATGCATTCATCAGTTATCTTTGTTTATTAAACAGCTAAAATAGTCATTTTATAGCTGCCTATATAAATTCAGAGCAGATCAATTGACTGTGAAAGATGGACTGTGATTTAACATGTGACAAGTGGGATAAGAATAGCACAATAGTTCATTGGATTCAGCTAATATTGCATGTTGACATGGAATGGATAAAGGTGGACACTTGGAAAAGGTTGTTTATTACTCTTGCCTTTCAGTCTTGTAGAGTGAGGTTGCTTTTACCACCTCTTAGGAGAGGCCCATCTTCTCTGAGCTAGACACCAGCCTTGAGTAGCTGGACTTAGGTGGACAGAGTTCTTATAGTGTCCTTACAGAAGTCTAAGAGGTGAGATTGTTTAATAAGCTGCATAAAAGCATTTAAAAATGTATGTTTGTAATTATTTTTTTCCTATGTTTTAAAGATATTGAACAGTTTGACATTCGTGTTGTTGCGGAAGAAGAACACAAAGTGGTAAGACTTGAAAAATCTTGGGGTTTGAGTTTTTTTGCTTTAATTGAAAATGTAAAAATCTGTGATTTTAGCTAACAGTTTTTGTAGTTTTATACTTGAACAACACAAAGTATATTAGAGAGAGTATTGATAATATGACAACTTATGCAGGTAACCATAAAGCTGATTGATAAACCTGTATACCCTGTAATCTCTGAGGAAAATTACTTATTTTATTGGATTTTATTTGTTGCTGAATGCTTTTGTGTGTTAGAAGTTGAGAGTAAACATGGTGTATATTCATTTTTAAACCATTTTAAGTATTTGCAGTGCCACCCTCCTAACTTTGTCTTTTGTGAGTCTGTGTGATCCCAGTAAAGGATTTGCTTAAAAAGTAAGCAAACAAAAGATGTGAAACTTAGATATAGTTCAAGTACAGTGAATGTTCCAATCTCTTTTCCCCCTCATTTCTTTGTCCTGTTTTTAACATAAATTTGTCTTCAACAAATTGTGGGTGTTTTGCTTAAAAGACTTATTATTAATAAACATGCATATAATATAGTAAAGAATTGTGTCATGAAAGCCAATGTTTTGCTTCATGGAGACAAATGTAGGCTTGGAAGGAAAAGTTAAGGACCTGATTTCAGTCACTTTGTCTTTCATGGTTTTCTCCAAATTTATCATCATAACCCATAAAGCAGATGGATTTTATATGCTAGATCACAGTAGTGGAGTAAATACTAAGTGTAATCAGGAAACATTGATCTGATCTCCTTCTAACAAAGAGATTTCTTTTGGTTGGCATGAAATCTCCATACATCTTTCAAGTGCATTTATACGATCCCAACAGTTTTCCACGACTTAGTGCTTTTCCTGTCTCCAGTACTCTCTGTCATGTGGCTGAGACTTTGGACAGAAATCTCTTTTGGAGCTGACACATCTTCTTTCAGTAGTTTATGCAGCTGATTCTGAACTGGCTGTGGTATTTCCCACCTCTGTGTTGAAGAGTGCTGTCTGTTTTATTTTGTTCACTTTGAGCAGCTTAAGTGGTGAATTTCTTGCAAGCAAGGAAGTCTGAAAGAAAGGATTTGTTAGTAGGTGTACCTTGACAACTGTGCTTCCGATCTCTTTAAGCTGAGCACCCTGCACACAACAAAGGTGGACTTTGTGCCACTAACAAGCACCTTAGTGTTTGTGCCACTACTGTCATTGCTTTTTTTCTTTAAAGCACAGGCTGTGCATAATTGTTACAGAACCTTATTTGACAACTTCTAATGTTCTTTCTTTCTCTTTAGGTGATTCAAAAGTCAGGTCAGCTTCCAAGAGCCAAAGTTGCAGATGATCTCGTTTGGGCACAGTGGGATATGATGGAACAGAGGCTCTTCTACATTGTTCCAAAGGTGAGAATGAAAGTCATTCTTGGAGATTTTTTTCCTGCCTCTCTAGAGACTGCGAAGTTTTGAGTGTGTAGGATGACAAGTGGGAGTTTGTTTTCATGAGGGTAGTCTGTCCTGTTCCCTTTAAAAAACAAAAGTCAGACTGGCCTTAGCTGCTGCTGTGCTTAGTAAATTCCAAGAAGACTGGTGATCTTAGTGCTTTCTATAAAAAAAGGTGGGTTTGTTAGGTTTTTGGCTTTAGAAAAATCTTTTATTCAAAAGTATCTAAATCTACCCCAAACTGTTATGAATATAACGTTTCTGTTCTAGAGAATTCACATATAGAAAGTATTTTGTATGCAGACATTGAGTTACCAAGTGAGGACAGGTTCTTGGCTAGAAACTTTAAAACTCTTTGGGTTTGGGTTTTTTGTTTTGTCTGAAGGACTATTTGGAGTTGATGTATTCTGTGTAAATGAAAACTGATTTTTCTAAACTCTTCTTAGCCACAAAAGGAGTGAGTGTTAGGAAGTAACAGGAAGTGAACTGTGGTGGAGAAATGTATTCCTGTTTTTGTTTCTGAGATACCCTTTTTGAACTGACCAACCAAGATACAGTTCTTTTTGCCATATAAGTAACTATGGAAAACATTTTTTTTTAACCTTCTAGAATGTGTGAGACATGTATTGCTGTTCTTCAAGTGAGAGCCCACGCAATTATAGATGATTGGCAGATAATGATCTGGGGCAGGAAGGAAGCATGTTGTAGTGCTATTGTGAGGGGTTATATGTGGTTTTTAAATTCAGCTTTTGTCCCCTAACTTCTGCATATCTGTTAGCAGAGCAAGTTGAGTGTGGAGAACAGTGTGGAGTATCCAATCACTTTTCAGTCTATATAATATGCTTCCTTAGTCACAAAACATATCCTTTTTAATTCCAGGAATCAAAGAGTACTTTAAGGTGTGTCCAGTTTTATCCTGATGAAAATTTTAACTCAATAGTAAGTTATGAGTATTTTATTATATAATGGCTTTTAGTGTGATGTATTTATGTGTTTCAGGCACGAATACAGAGATCTCTTTCAGTATCTTTTGTTGAAGTGTTTTCATAAGAAAACCAGGGTTTGGTTTTCCATTTGTTTTTTGGGGGGTTTTACATTATTTTAGTGTCAAGAACATATTCAGTCAGAGTCAGATTGTGCCACGGTAAGGTAACTTTAGTGGAATTACAGTTATTAACCTAGAAGAAAGTAAGGGACGTTCATGACACTATACTGATCTTATATTCAATTATTGAAAAAGCAGGCTTGTCAAATGCACTAGACAAAGAAACCATGTGTTAATTTTGTGTCAGTTTTAAGTGAAACAAGAACATTCATTGCAACCAAAATACAGAGAACAGAACATAAAAATTACAATGTATAATTGTTACTAGACCTTTGTCCCAGTGGCTGAAATTTGCTCTAATGCAGGAGGTTAAATATCTCTCAATTTATTTTCTCTTTTTCAAAAGGAATCTATTTTATAGGTTTTTTTGAAGTGACTGTAAGGATTGGAGGAGGATAAATAAACCTTATTAAAATGTTGAATCTGGTGAAATGTGAATGTGACACATTTTACTGGTCCAAAATACTAATCATAATACACTGACCTCACTAGATAACAGGTTTGGGTTTTTTTTTGGTTAACAGCTGGAATCACACCTGGATATTTCCGTAAATGACACACAATTGAAGTAAGTTATTTGTTTTTTCTAATGTTTTGTTTCACTTTCCTTTTAATATATATGGTAATGTTTTACAAACCTAAGAGAAATTTGTCCAAACCATGGTATCTTTGTTTCCAGTTGCTTACATGGTACTGTAATGTAGGAATAACATGAACACTGTGTCCAAGCCTCTAGTTCTTACTTTCATCAGGGTCAACTGTAAAAAGTAATTTAATCCTTGACTGCTTTTTAGTGCCATTCTTAAAAATGATTTGTCTGAAGACTTAGCTATAGGTTAAACCTTTGAGTAGGCTGTACCTACTTAAGTTAATTTAGTTTAATCTTGGGGTTGTTGTAGTGGTGATGCCAAAATTTCTGCCAAGGGAAGCTCTCCATTTCTAATTGCTGTTGCAAGTTTTATTGGGCAGTTAACCAGACCAGTAGCTCCTTTTTAGACACTGCCTGTACTCTGTTCTCCTCCAGCATGCTTTTTCCAGGCAGCCTGCACTTTGAAAGATGAAGATTTGTCTGATTCTGTCTGCCTGTCATGCACGTAATTGCATCTGAGCTCGACTCCTTAAGGCTCCCTTTAACTGAGGAAAAACCTAGTCAGGGTGGTGTGACTCTCAGTCATAATTTATCTCATCCTCATCTATCTTCAGTCAGGTGAATTTACATTCCAAAAGGGCCTGTTTATCTTTGTAAATAAAAAGGGAGGCCAAAGCTACTAGGTCAGATATCAGCAACTGAATGTAGTTGAGTTCCACTGTGCCCAAACCACGGCTCTTACAAAGTCTCAGTGCATGAGGCTCAGTGTGGCACTGCTGCACAAGCAGGTCACCCTAAAAGGTCGGTGTATCCTCTTGCAAGAGGTGCTGAAAAAATCCAGGTCTTGTAACAGCTTCATTGCTTGTATTTTACTTTACTTTTTTTAAAATTACTGTGGAAGACCTAGGGGAAAATACCTACAGGATCAAAATCCTTTCTGGAAAAAAATTCAGCCAAACAAAAAAGCCACTCAGCAACAACAAAGCCAAAGCAGACTGACTACAATCTTCTGTTGCATGTTCTGCAGGGCAAAAATAGGTCTTATGGATTTAAAGATATGTCAAACCATTACTGCACAGGCAGCACGAGACTGAAAATGTCATGGTGTAACAAGTTCCATGTGAGCGTAATCTTTCTGCTTTCCTTTTCAAGTACTTCCACTGAAATTAGTGTTCCTAATTGAGATTAAAATGTAGCTTTACAGAGATGGGCTTTGGAGTTAGTCTGCAAAGCCTTGGAGTTATCAGGTATGATGACTATTTGGATTTCCAGTAAAACATGAGAACTTGCTTTCACTTCAAAACATAAGAATGGTTGGACAATGCAGTAAATGAATATGAAGTTGGCAGGTGTGATTAAAATTGTTGGGTAACAGTGTGCAGTCTTGGAGTCTTCATTTCTAACAGCATTGAGCAGACTGGTTAAAGCCTAATTTAACCTGCATTAGAGAACATTTGATTATAATTTAATTAGTATGTTTTCATTACATAGTGACTGTTCTTGTGATCTTTTTGTTCTGACAAATCTCTGTGGATTAAATGATTTATTTAGTGATCTTTATTTGCTCATAGACTTGTGAATTTTGGATATGATTACTGTCAAGACCAAGATGTTGCATCTAAATCTTTGAACCTTCAGGTTTTTACAAGTAAAGCAGGTAAAGAATAAATACAAGTATAGTCAAAGTTACTTCTACTAGTGATTATTATGCAGTGTAATCATAATTGATTACTAAATTTCTTCATCAGACATTAAAAACCAAACAAAATACAAATACATATAATATGAGTGTGAGATTTGTATTCCATTAGAATATACTTGACAGGTAACAGTGAGGAGAGGCAGAAGGCAACCATGGTTTGTCTTAGTAACTTTTTTTACCCTCTGAAAGCTGCATTGAAGTTGAGCTGAAGTATCCAGGTTTTTATATATTAACAACAAAACAGTCACGCAGAAATTTTCTGGTAGCCCAGCTTCAAAGAACTGGTATCATGCTCTCATTTAGTGAAATATCTCAGTCTAAGCATTTTCCTGCTAGTTTCAGAACACAGGTGTATCAAAGTGTGCTTGTGTATTACATTAAAGCAATTCAATGCTAAAGCTGACAAAAAGTGTGTTAGAAAGTAAATTCAAGGAAGGCTTTGGCTAGTTCTGTTGTCTGGGTTTCTGATATTGTGTTACAGGGTGGACACAGGTACACAGAGTTTGTGCACTACGGACCCTGAAAGCTTCATATTGCTGTTAATATGTGGTGCTTGGAAGGTCCAAGTATATGATACTAAACTTGGTGTGTGCTACTCAAGAGTTTAGTGTATATATGATTCCTTAAACCTGAAATGCTTCTTAAACTTTTAGGATTTAGGAGTCTCTCTTCATTCTAGTGCATGCCATGAACTATTTTTTGACTGAAAGCTGGTCTCAAGAGGTATCTGTTCAGAGGTATCACAACTGTTTTCAGCTTCTAAATTAGACAAGACCATACAGACAAGCAGAGATGGTATCTGTTTAACCTTTATATCATCTGCAGAGTTGTACAGGGAAGTGTTGCAGAAGTAACTTTACATGTCGCTCCCCAAGGCCTGCTGTGTTCTGTGCACACCAGCCAATTGCTGAGCTGTTTGCCAGTTGCACTTAAGTGACCATTAATGCAAATCAAGTGAAATACAGTTTCCTTACAAGGATTTTTCTCTTACCAAGGCAGACTGCATGCTTAGAAAGGTTAGAGGGAAGGAATTAGAAGTAAGAGGGCCAAGTTTCTATCTACCAAATGTAGATGAGGCTACTTTTTCTCTGTTAGCAAAACAAATTCTTATACTAACAGCCTGTCCAGAAATGGGAAATAATATTGATTTGTATATATATGTTTCCTTTTAAACATATACTCCTCTGAAGTTTGTTCAGATTGAAGCACCTCCTTAGTTTAGGATGAAATTAAGTCATCCTCCAACAAGACTCATTTGGTTACCTCCAAGTAAAATGTTCTTTTCTATCTGACAGCACAGTATCTAAATTCTGTGGGGAACTTTTTACAATTGCTTTTCGTTGCACTTAATGTAAAACACATAATTTGACAATTGTACTTACTAAATGAGATTACTTGTAATCACAACGTATATGACTTTTCCTTGAATATTGTTTGAAACTGAAGGTTACCTATCATGACCCATTTTGGGTAACTAACAGTTTGGAGCAAATTATTTTGGTGCTAAAACCATATCTAGTTGTTGAAGAATACTGTGGGTAATCACACGAAAGTTCCCTTTTGTGCCTCTGTTTGTGGTGATTTGCAAAACTTCTTTGTGGCTCAGACTATGCCTTCTGTGGAACTGCCAGCATGTCTCAGATATTAAGGCCAATATCCCTATTTGTACCATTTGGACATCTCTGGCAAAGAATAATTGGCATAATTTCAAACTGGAATATTCCATGCAATTTCTCATTTAATAAAACTGTTATTGACTCCTGCCAATCTGAACTCTGAATGAAATCACTCTTCCTTTCTCAGACTTCCGCATCAGAAAAGTAGCTCTGTTCCTTACACTCGGCACAGACAAAATGTCTCCAGATAAAAATCCTGATGTACTTCTTGAGTAGCTGAGATCAAGCAGTTCTAGTCTCAGAATTAACTTTGTATGTCCAGGATTCAGTGATTGTTTAAAAAACACTGCACGGCTATGTTTTCTCATAATGCTTTAGAAATACTTTTCAATTAAATTTTGTCAACATTAAAACAAAATGCAGGTGGTAAGAGGACAGTGGATTACCATCACCTATCTGCCTGAAAGTTAGGCATCTGGACTATGTTTCTAGAGAGAAATAGGCATCTCCAGAGGATGATTGTTTCAATCCATATTTCTTTATTTGCTGTATAGGAGTCTAAATGAGAGATGTTTGGATGGCTGAAGTGAGGCAAGTGACTCCTAAGCTGGTACAACTAGACAAAATACCCTGATGCAATGTTGTATTTGAATTGTGGCACTTAGATGCCATGTTGAGATGTTGGAAAAACCTCACATCCTGAGCTTTTGCTTTAACAGAAATGAGTAATTTGAAGTTAAAGTTTCCTAGGTGACTCTTACAGTCTCAGTAGTATGATGTATATTTTTCAAGTGACAGAGTTGTAATTGTTGTTTCCCAGATAGGAGTAGAACTTAATTTTTAAATGCCTCATTTTTTTTTTTTTTTTTTATTTTGTGGTTGAGGTATTTTTTCCCTTTTATTTCTGGAAAGATAAGATTCCATCCAAGTATATCTTCATGTCAGTCTTCTCACCTTGAAGCATTCAGCTACAGCCTTTACTGTTTGCAAATGATTTTGAAATTGGTACTGTAGAAGACTTGGTTCTGCCTTTGCATGAAACACTTACCATACAGATGCAATAGGATAACAAGCTTTCTCTGCAGCAGCACAACCCAGCCCTAATTTGCAGAGGGCCCTGGTAAGGATAGGAAAGGAGTTTGTTGTATATTCTCAGTCTCTGGCTGCTCTAGTGGAATTGCTGGGACTGTATCAGATGTAACACAGCTTGGCTCCTTGCTGATGTGAGACTACCCTGTTTCTATCTGTATTAATGAAGCACCATTCTGTTGTTTGGGGTTCAGTTTGCTGACATTTGGACTAATATCCTCAAGGTGAAAGATGCACATGCTATTAATAGTCCCCCATAACTGCTGTTTCTGTGACCATCTTGCATATATTACCCACTGACACTTCAGTCTGAACAGACTCACTGGCATGGTGTGCAGTTTACAGAACAGTGTACACAGTAGCCTCCAGCATACAAGAAAAAAATTTGCAGTGCTGGAAGGGAGCTGTTGATAATAAAACAGCATTGTGGTTTGCTGGAGCTTTTCCAGTCTTCCTCATGGGTCCTGATGCTGCTACTTTAAAAATTATGCGTGCTCTGGAAGAAGCCAAGTGCTCTGGCAAAATGCCCTGTCTGTTGTCTGAATGACTCAAATATCCAAGCAAAACTGTATCAGACAATATTCAGTCAGCTAAGAATAAGCAGAAAGAAAAATTACATCTGAAGAAAGTATTTACCTTCCACAGAAGGCAGAAGTGTGAAGTGTCTCAGCCATATCTGCGTCGCAGCTATGATACGGCTTTGGGGTGTGAAATATGAGGCATTAAATCAAATAAAATATCTTGGTAGCTGTGCTTTTTTTGTACTTGTGCTTTTTTCTGTACTGTGCCATTTTCTGTATACCTTGTATACATAGCTGCTTTTTTTTTTTAATAGAACAGTATCTGTATTAGTATTATTTTTTTTCTTTCTTTTAAGTCATAAGCTTTCAATAAAGGAAAAAGGTGAGTGGTCACAGTTGTGGCCAAGCTTTCCCAACTGTATTGGGATAATGTGGTTTGGAAGCTGTTTCTAACATGAGTGCCAAAGCATCAGAGTAAGTGGATTAAAGTTTTTGTAAGAGATGGAGGCAGGGCTACCATTCAGTGGGGTCAAAACAGGATCAATCGGATGTAGAATTAAGTTGGGAGCAGGGAGCATTCCTGTACACAGTACCTTGGCTGAAATAAGCTTGTGCCAAGGACTGACTTTTCTCCTACAGAAAGAATTAACACTTCTTTGGGCTAGAAAGGGGAGAAGTGACTATCATTTCTGGTGTGAGAAAGCTCTAGCAGTCTATCATGCTGCTGCCAGTATGAAATTACTTGAAAAGCAAACAAGCTGTGTTTTACTATGCTGTTCTGAGAATATTTGACAGTCCCTGAACAGAAAATATCTGGATTTAGGCAGTCTGTGGAGAGAAAGACTTGATCAGTTTTTTGGCTAAAAGCAGGATTTCTACTGGGAAGGGCTAAAATGTACTTCTCCTAAATGGAAGAACTGGCAGTGTCAGGACCCAGGTCTCCATTGTGCCAGACTACCTCCTCTGTTCTTTCTTGATTTTGTGTTTTGTTAGGTAAATGATGGCTAAAGGTACATAATAGATATTTCTGTAATATTTATCTTTTTGAGAGATTATTTTTAGTTTCTGATTTGAAACAGTCATACTTTATTTTTTTGCAGTATAAAGATGTCTAGATATTCAGGTGGACAAATCAGTTTTCTTATTTTGTCTTTTTAGGAGGCTTGTGTGTGTGTTGTAGTCTAGCCTGTGATACTCCTGATGAAATCATGTACTCCATATATTTTTTACATAAAGGTAAGATTAACCTGTTAACTTAGTATGCTTTGTTTTGGAGAATGTCACTGTGCTGAAAGAGTCACAGAATGCCTTTCAAAACAAATAACTACCAAAGTCTGCAGACAATAAACTACTGTGGTTCGTGTTTAAAGACAGCAGCTGCCTTTAGCTGCAAAGTTGACTTTCCTGCTGTAGACTTCCTGCCTGATGCTGAATGAGTAGCTTCAAACCAGTGGCCTTGTAAATGCTTATTAATTTGGTCCCTTATTTCTAGCCAGACTTTCAGGCATGCTGAGCACAGACATCAATGAAATCTGTGGGAGCTTGCAGGTGTGTTGTACTTTTGCCATAAGGCATCTGTATGGGAAATAGAGCCAACAGCTCTTAGCTTGAATGTCTGTTTAGAGTTCCAGTTTAAAAAGTCATTTTCACAGCAAGAGGTGCAACACCCACTGACTCTAAGAATAGTTGCTGTGTAAGTGGTGCTCTAACTCTTAAAGTTAAGACCTTTTTTTGTTTTAAAATAATAAAAACCATTGCTTGATTTTGAGCAGAATAAAACTTGTTGTTAGTAAGATTTTCTCGTTTGATATACGGATGAGAGAGGCGAATTATTTCTCAGTTGAGAAGCTGCATAGTATGAAATAACTGTGTTCAAGAGGACAACATAGCTCTGTTCTGCCTTAGGTGTTTGCTTTCTTGTGTCAGGACGCTTTCCTTATGTCAGAACTGCACTGACATGTTGCTTTGCTGCTGGAACATTTTGGGATGGAATGAACTACATTTCTGTGTTCTTGAAGGCATTAACGAATTGGAAAAGTCCTTTTTGGGTGTGACATACTGTGCATTGCACTGCTGTGAAGGGCTGATTTGCCCAGATGTGCTTGACATGTAGCCAAACCATGGCCCTTGTACATCCTGATCTATACTAGGAGGAAACTGAAGATAAATATGGTTACATTGAGTAGCTAAGTCTGAAATGACCTCCATGGAATGGAGCTGTTTGGTGCAGAGCTGTTTGTGGGTTCATGTAGCATTGGCCGGTCATACAAGAGACTTTTAAGACTGGTCCTGCAGTGATCACAGAAGGAGTGGTATTTTGGGTCCATAAGCCATATTTTGGAGACGTATAAGGGGTTCAGTTTGTTCTGCAGCATCTGTAAACTCATCTGGAAACTTCCCATCCCTGTTAAAGCTGTCACTGCAGCATGAATAGGGGGATTATGATGTTGCAGTTCTATCCTGCCGTGCTGATATTAGCTTGCATGCACTTCGAGGCAAGTAACAAAGTGGTGATGATGAGTATACTGACTCACTGCAAGCAAATTTCAGTCAGTATTTTGTGTGAAAAACTATTTGTTTTGATACCCCTTCATCTCTGATGGTGCTGTTGTTCTTGGAGGCCTCTTTTTTTCTCTTTTAGCAGCATATATTAAGCACATTTCTCTGCTAGGGTCAGGAAGTCATTTCCTGGATGAGTGACTGAAATGTGGCTCATGAGCAGCTTTTTTTCCTTGGTGATCCTGTCAGCTGTGGATTTTATATTGAATTTTCCTGCACTATTAAGTAGCATCATGATCATGACACCATTATTTAATCTTCAGCTTTTCTCAGAGACAGACAAAGTTTGAGGGCTTTGTACCATTCTTTCATGGTGCCAGAAGAAGTGTGGTACAAGTCTGGAATAAAACAACAGCTGTGCTGATGCAAAACCCATACAAACACAGCAGGTCTGACATTGGCCTATGCTTAAACTGAGCTGAACTAAACTAGAGCAACAGGGCATGCAGAAAAACAAACTGGAAATTCTTTAGAGCAGCTGAAAGATCACCAAAATGTGAAGCACAGCTATATAGAGGATTTGTGTTTGGGGTTGTGGGTTTTTTTTGAGGAAAGGTATTTTTACACAAGCTTGCTTTGGGATGGAATCTTTCTTTAAACACAAACATAGACTGTGCAGTGCATGGCTAGTTTTCGAGCAGCAAAGAACTGCATTGTGTAGGTACAAGTCTACTAAGTGTGCAGCAAGTCTGTTTAGGATGAAGTAAATCTGTCTGTGCGGACAACCTCATAAAACAGTCTAAAATATCCCTGTTTGGGTGCATTGGCACTGATGAAGTTTCTAGCTATAAAGCTGGGTTGTAGCAAATTACGTTTATTGTTTGGAGTTTTTTAAAGTATTATTATTTTTCCCCAGGTTACAACAAAACTTTTACAGTTTCTCTAGAAAGAACAGAATCTCATCAATTGAAGGAAGTAGCTTTTATGAATCTTGGTAGGTTACTTGGGTTACTTCCCTGTGTGATTGCCATTCTCTGTCCCTGGTAGTGAGACAAATCACTAACCCTTCTCTAGAAGGAAAGGATTTTTTTTCTTGACTTTAAGTAATGTTATTTTGCTGCTTTTTTTCTGCTTAACTTCTATATTTGGCATTAGATATTGCAACACCTCACTATTAGTAAGCAGCTTCCTCTGAAATTGCCTCAGAATCTGCTCTGCACATCAGCTGCTGAGTTCTTGAGTGTCTCAAGTCTCTTGAATCCTTCCCTGGAAACTCAAATGTACCACTAGTGTTTCCTGTGTTAATACAACAGCAGCTTTTAATTAACTCCTTTTATACTTCCTAGATATAATCAATTCCAACACAGAGAACTGGGCCAAGTTGAGAATCATATGAAACAGCCTCTTAAAGCAAATAAGGGATCAAGTGCTAAATTGACCACTGTTGTTTCTTTAAATAGACTATTATGTGGCTGCTTATTTGCCTGGACAGTTCCTGCACCTCCTGAATATTCAACATCCTGACCTCCTGTGCCATAGTTTATTTCTGACAGGTATAGTAAGACTGCTGCTCAAAATAATTTTATTGTTGTTGTGGAAATTCGATCAAATCTCTTTACATGAAAGTTATATTTCTCAAAGTTTCCTTTATTGCACAGTGTTCTGAAGAAGGAGAGGTACTGAAAAAATAAGAATGGCATTTTTGCCACTTTCTATTTTAGAAAGAAAAGATGAAGTGACATTTCATACTTCATATATTACATATTTCTAACTTGTTCTGAAATGGAAGAAGACCTTTCACTGAATTTGAAATTCTCTGCCTTGGTTTCATAGTTTCCCTTCCCCCATCTTTGCAAATGGTTCTTGGTCCTCCACTGTTCTCAAATTTCACATGGAGATGTAAATTTGATTTTACATTTCCTTCCTGCAATTGAGTTGCTCTAAATGTGTGTGTTTGGAGAGTGTGGAGAGAGGAAATCTGTGTTTCCTTCACCTGATCAGGCTGATGCAATTAAATTTAGAGTCTCATCTGAGAGGCATGTTATTCCATTTCCAACAAACATGTCCTTGTGGGAAGTGGTTTATTTTTGGAAGTGGGGTGCCTTTGTTTGAAAACAGAAATCTGTTGTTCTGATTGGGTGAAGGAGACTGTGGAAACTGGTGCAGGGGCAGCATCACAGGAAGCTAATACCTGCTTTATATGGATAATGAAATACCATTCTGCTAAAAATGAGTGAGAAGCATCACTGTTGTATGGTGGGCCTGATCCCTCTGATACAGAGGGTCTGAAATATGGTACCTGTACAGTACCATGGTGGTGAACCTTAGTACTAACATAAGTAAAGTGGTTTTGGTCTGATGCTTCAGTGAGTAATCACAGAGCAGAACCTTCCTGTTGTGGGCCACTGTGATTGATGGCAAGAGATCCAAGAGTACAAGTTTGTATCACGATTCTGCATGTGAGCAGTTCTGAACTGTACCAACGATACCAATAGGTGCTAATTCTAGTGTTGAACTTGTGCTACTGGCCTTGTACCCTTCTCTGTTCTATCACATGTACTCTGCTTTGCCTCAAGACAGCACTGTGAGCCTTGAATCTGTGCACCTTCTCTGTGTCAGCAATAGGGAAGGAGAGAACTGAGTACAGGCTGTGCTCCTTATCTACTTCCTGTATCCAGCCAGCACCAATCCTCCTCCTCTTGAGCATAAAAATACCAGGGCAGCTAGTGCAAGAGGCAGACTGTTTCTTACTGCTGGGGACCTAGGAGTCTTAAGAGAAATACTAGTAGCAGCTGAATTTTCTGTTCTTACTTCTTTTTGTTGTCAAACCAATGTTCTTCAGGTGAGGATGCAAGAATTGACACGTTACAAAATTGTTCCATCCAATCCCCACTCGTGTCAACAGTTTTGGATTGTGAAGCAGGAAGTCTGTATGCTGTAAGCATCAGTGACAGCACCTTGCTGCAGCTCCTACAGAAGAGCAAACAAGACAGTGAGAGATTGGCAGCTCTACATTGTGCCCTGCTCTACTTCCAACACACAGAAGATTTGGAAATGCAGGTGGGAAAGGAGCTTCCTCTAATTTTGTTTTCAGTGACTGATGGTTACATGAAGCAAGGTCAGGGCATAAATGATATCAGGCAACGAAAGATCCTGATTTACATGGACCTTTTGGCAGTGCCAGGAGGCTCATCAGCTGGGCTGCCCTAAACCCCTTTATTGGTCTAGGCTGTCCTGAAAACATTTGTATCTGCATCACTACTTTATGCCAAGTGTTGCTACCAAACCCAAAGTTTTTTAGTCTTTTATAAATATTCTCAAACAGAGAGCTGGGACAAACTCCCTGTTCTCATTCTGACAGATTATTCGGTGGATTTCTGAGAACCTGTCGACATGTCACTCTTTTGACCCCATTCAAGAATTTATCGTCGGTAGGTATTTCTTTTCTTGCGTCCTGAGTTTTCCTGCACACTCTAGTTGTCACTGAAGAAGAAGCCACGATGTTACAAAGTCTCTTATTTCCAAACTTTTTGGTTATGATTTATGTTAACTGACCTACATTTTATGGTGTTAAGAGACAGCATCAGTAGTTTAGAAGACATACAGATATCTCAAAATCAGATTGGCAGTAAAACTTTTCAAATGCATTCTTCTTCTCTCTAATGGGACAAATGGATGTATCATTATTTTAAGTCTCTGGAGATTGGAGCTGAGTAACAAATCTCCTCTAGCCTAGCCCAAACCATTTTTCATAAGGATTTGGCATATCATGATATTCTCTTCTAGTAGGTGATTCCTCAGTCTAGCCAGCACATAGTCTTTCTTCAAAGGACCCCTGCAGTGCTGAGCTGTAGCCAAGCAGCTGACCCAGCCCTGCAGCCATCTGGACTTCTCTTCCTCCTTTTGTGCACAGAATGGGACCAGTTCCACCATGGAGGAAGCTGTTTCAGAGGCAGCAGCAGGATTTGTCCCAAAAAAAAGTGTCAGACAATGAACTATGAAGCCTACTCTTGTTAACTGATAGTTTATACAATCTTGCCCTTATAAGTGTTTTTACATTGCATTCAGCCTCCCTGTACTGCAGAATGTGTCCAGAAACTCAAAACCTGGATAAACTTTTGCCCTACACATCATTGCTTGACTGGATTGGGGTAAGATAACAGCTGGTGCTTTGACTGATAGATAGAGGGTCTGGTTTTTTTCTCCTTTAATACAGCTTTTAACTTGTGTGTCTTACCTTTTCGTAGATATGCTCTAAATCAATATCTGTGCTTTATGCCTGTTTTAATTTGCCAAGTCTTACCCTTTGTGGTGTTTTCCGTAAGTAAGATTTTTTGCAACAAAAGCATTTATAAAACAAGAACAGCTACTATAATCAAATGGATGATTAAATATCTCAGTTTTCATAATGAAGTATTAATTTATTCTTTATCATATCAGGTTTATAGTGAATACAGAATACATTTAACAGCAAAATCATGCAGTTATTTCCAAGACAAACAGTATCAATAGAGTTAAGATTTGCTAGTAAGCTTGCAGAAGTAAAATAACTTCAGGCAAGACTTTACAGTTAGAGCAAATAGCATATTTTAATTTCTCTGATCAGACACTGTTCTAATATGTTGTCTTTTTAAAATGAGGGTATGGTTTTGGCTAGCTAGCTACTTTCACAGAGGAAATGGATAGTGGAGATTCATCTAGATCCCAAACAGGCCCATCTTCTATGCTAAATTATAAGACTATAAATAATTTGTCTGTATTTCTAGGTTGTGCCTGGAGTAATATGTGCAACAGACATTATTTCCCTACCTGTGTTAGAGGTAAGTTCCAGTTTGTATTTGCAGATTAGGAGCTGCTTTTTTTGTGGGAGAGGGGTATGCTAAATACTAATAAAGCAGTGTCCCTGAAGCCCTATCCAAAAATAGGTGTGAACAGAAAATTGCCCTGTTTGAAATTATTTATGCATTTATCAGTTATTCAGACTGATGCTTGCTAGCTCAAAGATGTATTTTTAATTCCCTTTCTGAAGACACTTCTATTCAACAGGGAGGATTCTCCAAAAATTAATTCTTGTTAGGTCTGCTTGATACCACTTCATTTTGTGACTTTGGTAGCTGAAGGCAGAGTTGACATGGGCATAACAGGCATATAGGATTTCTCTGTATGTCTATGTATGCCTACTTTGAGGGATATTTCATTGTGCTGCCATTGGTATGAATGGTTTGTGACCCTCTCACTTTCTTTTGTCTGGAGCATCCTGTGATTGCACTGATGTCAGGGCTTTGGCTACTAAATCTAGACAAATTCCTGCACAGGCTGGAAAGGGCAGTGAGCTGGATGGGGAGAGCACACACTGTTTGGGTAGGAAATTGTACTTTCTGTTGAAAACAACATGAATGATTCTTCCTGTCTTCCCGTTCCACTCCCTCAACTCCAGTTTAGAGAGACAACTTAAAATTTTTTCTAAGTATTCTCATACAAAATCTGAAAGAGGATTTTAATAAGCAGTTTGTTGTGGAGAGCTATGGGAAGAGTTAAGAGTTTAGACACAACAGTACCAGCAACACATGGGATTAGGCTCTGGATACATGACAGTATTTGTTCCATCTTTGAAGAGGTGAGAGCCTGTTTCTTTCCCAGTGCTTATAATTAGTCATAAAGCTTCAGTCTTCACAAAATGTTTTAAAAGTCAGTGAAATAGTCCACTGCTTCCTCACTCTGCAGCAGTGCATTACAGCTGTGCTGCACAAATTTGTAGGGTTCCTGGTTCCTGTTAGGGAATCAGGCTTCACATGCTTTGCTTGAGAAGGTTACCCTGAGAGCTGGGACACCTGGGAAAATCAGATCTTGAGAAAATTTGTTGCTAGATAATCCATGTAATTCATTGAGGTCAAAGTTAGCAGGCCTTTAATTTGTCTGAGATTGAACCTCAAACCCCTGGGGGCACATGCCTTTAGCAGCTATACTTCCTGATTGTGGAACTCATTTCCTATTTCTGTCTGAAACTTAAACAGATTGAAAAGGTCAGAGTTGAACTAATGACAAATATTTCCTGCTACTTTTGACTGCATTTGTTCTGACTCTTGCATGAGGACAAAGATGGTAATACACAGGGTAAGGTTTAGTCCTCTGACTGTACCACTTCAATGTCACAAACTCACCATGGCTCAAGTTCAAGTAGTCAGTTGGTGTTTCAGTTGGTGCATGTTGTTGGCATCAGGAGTCAGACCCTGGTGAAAGATCTGGTCCTACAAGTAGTATTTCTTCTGCAGAGATTTTATGGCATTTCACAGACAGAATGGTGAATTGTTACTTTGAGAAGGTTTTCTGGAGTTCTTGAGCCTATGAGTTGTTGAGAGCCTTTGGGAGGGCTATGTCCATATTCACAAAAAAATTGAGCTATTTGGGTATCAGTTGTGTTTTTATCACTAAATTCCTGTTCAGCAAGATATATTGAGAGAGTGTGGGAGAAAGGAGAACAGTCAGTCCAATTGTCAAAAAGCTTTACATAAGGATTGCAATTAATGTCTGATTCCACCCACCCCATCCCTTTTTAAACAAAAAACAAACTTGAAGGGGTGCAAACAGGCTTGATCAGAAAGGGAGAAGGAAGGGGCAGGAGGAAGAAGGGAAGAAAATAAAATAGGAGGTCCAGGAGAAGAGTGAGGATGGATAGTGAGAGAAGTTGTCAGAGCACAGGAAGAGACAACCTCTCCTGCATGCTGCACTGAGCCACTGGGGTGCAGAGTGATGTTTTAAGGAGTAGCTGCCTGTGCAGCTGCATAGTTTGTTACACAGCTCTCTGAATACTGTCACTGCTGGGGAGATACAGCACTACAGTCCAGAGAGGACATGGGCCTCTTGGAGGTAATTGTTCCCCTACATCTTTTCAAAGGGGTAGAGCAGAGAGCTCTCTATCTTCAGTTAAAAATCCACTACTTATGAAAGGCTTCATGGGAGCTTTTCATGGATTGCAACCTGGTAAGGCCTTGCTTTGGCTTCTGGCAGTACAACATCTTCTAGGTGTTCATGCTTGGATATGTATTCTTGACTCTAGAAATGTCTGCAAAATAAACACCTAAGCAGAGGAAGCCTTCTCTTTCTAGTCCTTGCCCTGATGATCCTCAAGAAACAACTATAATTAAAAAAATCCTTTATTTTAAACTTTTGACTTTTTAATTAGCTCTAATGCAATGCAGGTTTTCAGAATTAAAAGCAGACACCACTGAAGTCTACCACTTCCTGTTACAGATTTAGTACATGAAAGAAAATTGCTGTCTTGTTTCTCACCACCACATATCAAACAAAGTTCAGTATGGCCTGAACACAGTTTTGCAGTGGTGGTGCTGCCGCAGTTGCATGGATCGGTCACTAGATGATACTCTTTTGCTGTATTTGATGTTTCTCAGGTTTCATATTGGTAACATTTAGGCAACATCCTGCTGTAGTAGAATCTCGTAAGATTGTAAGAGTGTAGATCTCATAAGTTAGCTCCAACAGAGGGAACATATGGTGCCATATGCACTCCTAGTTTGCAGCTGCTAAATATAACTAACATGAAGCAAAACCCGAGATTTATTTTTCTCTGCTGCAGCTACAATAATAAAGTGACAATAGACACTGGCAGCAAGAGGAAAGTGGCTGGCAGGATTGAGTCTTTGAAATTTATTTTCCTTGACAAATTGTAGTTTATAGTAGGAAGTGGTTTCTTCCTTCTGAGGTTTTCTTTTAAAGTTATTGTCATTGTAGAAAAGTAGAGGGGAGAGAGCAAAATCCAACATGTTAATGCAAGATGGAGAAATCCTGTGAACTCAAACTTGTCTTTATTCAAATGTCGCTACTGTAGTGTCTGTATTTGGAGGTAATGTATCTTAAGAGGGGCAAGAACAGCTGGCACCATCTCTTGTTTTTTTAAAACTGCCAAAAAGATTTGCCTTAATCTCATCTCTTCCTCAACCATGATCACATCTCCCCAGATTTATAAACAACAGCTTCAAATCTTTATACCCAGTCCAAGAACTAGCTCAGGAAACCAGTGTGGTTTTGTTTGGTTTTTTTCCTCCTGTCTGTTCACAGCTGAGTTTAAATTAATTTTAGCATTAGTCATATGTTTTAGAATTGATATGGGAGTGTTTGGATTTTGTTTCTTTTCTGGGATGAGGCACTGATTTTGAGGTTGGTAAATGGATGTTTGTAATCTAAATGTTAATACAGCTTGAAAATAGTGGCAGCTGTCGGGGCCATGGTGATATTCCTCTATTTGGAACTACCAGAAACCCAGAATGGGATTTATTTGACCAAATGTCAACATTTACATCTATATTAGTTGCCTAAGGCTCCTTTTACAGTCAGAGGAAGTCTAGACAATATGGCCAGTGTAGTCTGTGGTGCAGTTCTTCCCATCCCAAACTTGTGAAATGGGTCAGATGAATTATGATACAGAAGTATTCATTTCTTCCCAGTGACTTAAAAGGATACTGAGGTGGCAAAGTATCTACACTACAGGCACCAAGTCTTGACCTCAAGTTTAAGTAAGTGCTACCCCTGCCATGAAATGAAAAGAAATTAGTTTAGCTGCTTTGGTTTAACTTTTTTCACCTAGATTGTTCTGAAGCTACATTAGTCACATGTCTTTGCAGTCACTTAGTGAGAGGGTGATGAGGTATTTCTTTAACAGTGCAGCCTGTATTCATGCTTTCCCTGCAATACTTTGCAGTTCCAGAACTCCAAAGGCTTCTGGGAGAAACTGAACTCAAACTTGGAGAGTGTGAAGTATGCAGAGCCACAGTTGCACTACCACAATAATGTGCTCAAGAGGGAATGGCATAACCTTTCAGAAGAGGTGAGTGTACGTGCCCTGAAACAGCCTCCAGTGCTGCCTCTGAAGTGGGTGTTTTAAAGCCAAGCATGGACGAGTTGTCTTTTTTATTTTGAAGATAAAGAAATTGCAATCTGATTATGAGAAGTGCAAAGACTTGCAGTCATTTCACTTAAGGTGAAGTTAAGCGTGTAAGTTTGACTGTCTAAAAATAATGCAAGAAATTAAACAAAAGCAGAGCTTGCACTATATTGTTGTGTGGGTTAGATGTGTGTGAGTCCCTACGAGCATGGATAGTTGGAAGGTGGGTTGAAGTCCCACTGTGCATTATTCCCATTCAAAGGGAAAAACAGCTTCATTTCTCATCTGCATTCTGTCAGGGAGTATTTTAATTGGTCTTCTGCTTTGTGCATTTGTGGATTTTTGTTTGTTTACAAACCAGAGAGAAGAGAGAAGAACCACAGCATATTTGAGGAATATTTTTGAAAATGCCAAAAAGTACGTACTGGTTTCTATTGTATTTATGCTTTCTTACTTTGTGCAAGAATGTTTGAGGATTTAGTGAGTAATTTCATTAGTTAGTTAGATATCTGATTAGATAGCTTTAAGGAAGATTATTCAGGTGAAAATCAATTATTGGAGTCCTTGTAATCACCGTGGGACAATCTGAAATACACACAGGCTTCTAGAGCTGGGAATTTATGAGAAATATGAAGAGTTATTCTTATGCAACCTAGACAAATAGATTTTTTTTTAATGCTATTTAATATTTTTACTAAATGTAGTCATGAGTACTGTTCTCATATTTCTTTAATGAATCTTTGATCTTTCAAAGATAACTAAAGTGTTTTTATGACCTTATGAAATTCTGTAGAGTATTGCATATGAAGGACACTGATTTTTGTTTCAAACCCCAGGGTGCTTTCTCATCTGGACACTTGGGACTCTGGTAAGTAAAACTTGTCTCAATGTAGGCCTTAGCTGTAAGGTTTATTTTAGTATTTCCATCTAGCTGTTGTTTGCCAAAAATAAATTGCTGTGTGTGTTTTCAGCACAGAAGAGTCTGAGGAATTAAGATAAGCAGTTATTAAACTGGAAGAAAACTTTCATGTACTGACTAGGAAATGCTTGAAAATAAAGTTCCTACTTCATATTGGATCTAACAATACAAGCAGTGGAACTTTGCCTGCCTAAGGATTTTCTTCTTCAATGACACCATGTTACTGTTGAGTTTTTGTCTGCTTACAGCTGCCTTTGCAACAATCAGAACTTGTGCAGGAGATTAGAGCTGGTGAAAAATCATGGTGTGGAGAAGGCAGATGTAACCAATTTCCCTAGGCCAGGAGCACTGGGGATTTTGTGATGTTCAGTTCTTGTCACAAATAATTAAAACTGAATTTAGTACTGAATTGTGTTCCTGCTCTTCACACATCAGTGCCTTCTGTGTGCCCTGCCACTGTGTGCTGTGAAACGATGCTGATCTAAGTGGTGCTCTCACCTTTTATTACCATGAATTTTCAGTGCACTCATTTCTAGCCCCTAACACCAGTCATCTGTGCCAGTGCTAGTTACTGCAGTGGTCTCTGACTTTAAGGGGCCTTATATCAACTTTGCGAGCCTCAGCTTCATGCTTTCAAAGGTAGTGATTGATGAAGCAGTCAGATGTTTAACTGTTAATAGAGAATTTTTAAATAGCTGCCAGCCAGTAACAAGCATCAATGTAGCGTGTCTTCCCTGTAGATTTGTCCTCAAGTCCCTTAAAATCAAGCAGCTCAGGTCTTTGTACTGCTAAATGTTGAAGTAATTATATCTCAATGTGAGCAAAAATAGCTGAAAATTTGTGAAAAATTGGTGCTTGGTTCTGTAAAATGTTGACTTGGTTTTATGCTACATGATGAAATAGGAGATTGTTTTTCTTCCTTTGCTGTTCCTAGGTGGGAAGCACTGATTAGGAAATACAGGTTATTAATTTTAGTAGATACTATAACCTCCTTCCATTTAGTTAGAAAATTATGTTCTTTTCGTAATGGTCTGCAAATCTGAGTAACAGGAGCCACACCATGGAAGAGAACCAGGAAAGTGGGAGGTGATTCCCTGGAGTATTTCCTTCCTGTCTAGCCATTTCCTTGGAAGACCCATGCAGCTGTTTTATCTTGTTTGTTTGTAAATGACGAGATCTAAATAGCATATTTAGCAACACACTTGCACTGGTGTTACCAGAAGGTTCTCTGTGTCTCTTTGCTTTCTTGAGTCACCACACTGTGACAACTCTTAAATATCAGAGGAAAGAGGAAGAAGATAGCAGATAAAGGGTGATTTTCCATTTCTCAGTTCTCTTATGCAGTCTATGATTCTTCACTATCTTAGTTCTGTAGCTGAGTAGATCAAACCATAACTTCTGGTTGTTTCTAAGTGTGTTCCTAAGTACTTTTGAAACGGGTTGAAGTTTCGTGGTATTTCTGCAGTGTCATGCCCTTGAATGATTCTTGCTCTGTTTATTTCAGAGGCGAGGCTCGTACCTCTCTTTGAAGAGGAGGATTATCAGCAGCAATTACTAATGGGACTGGTATGTGCTTTTGTCAGTGTCCACTAGGGGACGCACAACCTCCACAAATATATTGAAAGTGAGCTTCTAAATTCAGTGCTGAGCTCAGTCTCACCGAGAGTAGCGATGGGGCAAACGTAATTCCTAAGTTTTAGAGTTCATAATCAGGATACCATCTTAAAGGTCATCAAGGCATAGGGAAAAAACAGCAATTGAAAGTTGATTTGTCAAAATGTTTTTTCCAATTACAACTTCAGCTAGAAACTGTTATTCTGTCTTCCTGGAGTTCATCTTAACCTATCAGTTCTTTTTGGACTATTTTACATCTTTAAAACATTGAAGATTGCAGATCTTCTTGCTCCTCAATTTAACAGCTTTTTTTTTACTGTCTCCTTTTCTTTCTACCTCACTGCTGGGACTGCTTCATCTCCTGCACTGTTTTCAGCAGTGACCTCTCAAAACGATCTACCATTTATGTGCTTATGGGTAATATATCCTGTCTCAAACTCCTACCTGTCCTTCCTCTGTCTAAATGCACATCTTTACTTATGTCTTTTTCTCTTACTGTTAAACCCAAAGGAAACTCTTTGGTATGTACTGGAAAGTCTCAGCAGTGCATCTGTGAAGAGCATATCAACACTGTCCTATCTGTTCACTTCTGAGGCAATTTTTCCTTCTTTTCAGTCTTGTCACCTTGTTTCCAAGTCTTGCCTCTCATTCTCTGAAGCTTCTCTGCATTTCTTCCCCACTGTTTATTCAGACAGATCCAAAAAGCAGGTCACTGCTGTCCTTTGTCTATGCCTTCCTCATACCTGTGTTGCTGTCTTGACACATTTGAGATAAATCTACATGTACATTCCTTGAGACAGAGATTTTTATTTGCTCCAGTTTTACTCTGAGCTTTGAAACAAATCATGCTGCTTAGTAATTCTCAGCCAAGAGCCAGCATGGACTTGAGTTGCAATCTGAAGCTACGCGAGGTCAGTGAATATTTCAGAAAGGAGAGAGTAGGGAGTGGCATGGACTGTGTGATAACAAACACTCAATTTTAAAGACTTTACAATTAATGTTTAACCTGAAATTGCCATTAATCACTCTGTTTCTCAGGTTCTTGGCTACTACTACAAACTGTACTTGAGCTAGTTTTCTCTGAGATTTTATGTAATACTTAGATTCTCAGGACTCAGCGCTCATATTTAAACCCTTCTTTCTCCCTGTTCACTTGTCTTGACACAGAGAGATGTAAGAACTGTAAGCTTTTTCTCTTCAGTGTCACTGAAAGTTCAACTTAGCACTCATTTGCTGAATTTGCCATCTTGAATATTCACATCTGCTGTTGAATTTAGCAAGACTGGACTGTAGCTTGGGATCTCGCTCTGAACTGGAGTTTCATAATGCAGAAACATTTTGTTGAGCCAATGCCTATTGATCTGGCCCTGCACCTCCTGCAGCTTTTGTATCTCTTTGAAGATGCTCAAGGACACTAAATTGTTGGGTTTGGTTTTTTTTCCTAGATGGTTGCTCAGCTAAAGGATCACCTTATGAGACATCTACAGTATGTAGGAAAAAAGAAGATTGACCAAATAGTTTTGGATTACGTTGCAAACCTGGTTAGTTGGATTTCATAGTCACGGTTTTGAGTGAGCATGCATTAGTTGGATGGTAGATCCTTGGGTATGTGGTATTTGTAAATATATGTATATATTTGATGGGAGAAAGTTGTTTTTAAAATATTTAAGCATATTTTCAGCTTAATATTGTATGTATTGATAAAGGAAATGAATAATACTTAAGTATTTTCCAAAGAGTTATACTGGTCACTCAGAATACAGAAGAAACTGTTCTCTTTACAGCTTGTACAAATATGCTCTACTCACAGAAATGAAAATGGTAACTGATAAGTTCAAAGAATCATCATTAGATCCATTTAGTTGCCTTTAGAAAACATCGCTGCAAGTTCTGAATAATAGAGGTGCCACCAGGGGAAATACAAATTAATTAAAAGAGATTTCACTACAATATGACACATGGGTAAAGCATCACCAGTCCTACATCCTGCCTTCATTGGGCTTTTTTTGTGTGACAGGAGACAGAGTTTTGCATGAAGAGATCTGTGTAAACTACAGTGAAAATTTTTCTGTCTTTCCTCCTCTTAAGAGAAACTTTAAAAAAAAAAAAAGCTCTGAAAACTGTGACTGTTGTGCACAGAAATTATATGTACCTGTCTTTGTTTGTCTCAACGTCATGTCCTTTAAGCACAGAACACAGTTCACAAAAGCTTGTGCGGCAACTACTAAATCCTGTTCTTCTTGCAAGCCCTGCCACACCATTCAATAGAAACTCCCCACAGTGCTGTTTTCTGGGAATGGAAACCTTGGGAAACTTTCTTGAGGCTGCTGATGCCTGCATCTCTTTGGAAGTCCTGTGCAAGTCAGCTGTGCTGTCAACCTTACAACGTTCTCTGAACTGCTGCAGCTTCACTGCCATCACTGACTTTTCGGGCCTCGCTTTATAGCTTGACAAGTTTTTCACTGGTAACTGGCAGGCTTTTCTGCATCTGTGTAGAAAAGAAGGAAAAACTAGTGGCTGATTAAAATAGGAACAGTACAACAGGAACCAAAGCTTTGTACCTGAAAATGGTGGTGAAAAAGCACAAGTGGAATGCTTGTTCTCCTTTCATTCAATTTCTAGTAATAATTTGTTCACTTGTAATAAAAACTTAAGATAAAAAATATGAAAACACTCATACAACCTTGATCTGCAAGACTAAATTATTGTAGACTAAATCTTGCAAAATAAACCTCAGCCCTCCCTGTTAGTGAACTCTCAAGGTTAATTTTTTTTTTAATGTCACTAACAGTAAGAATTCTCTCCACTCAGTTGACAGGCTTATTCTTAGAAAAGCTACTGTAAACAAAGATTATAGATTAGCTGAGATTAGCTCAATTGGTTACAGCATGGTGATAATAACACCAGGGTCATGGGTTTGATCTCTATAAGGGCCATTCACTTAAGAGTTGGACTTGATGATCCTTGTGGGTCTCTTTCAATTTAGAATATTCTGTGATTCTATAATAATGTGTCTATAAAACTTGCTTCTGCCCTCTGGCTGGTACATGTTAGGTACTGCTTGGAAAACTTTAAAATTATGTCATTATTAGATGTGGGTTTCCCCTCATCTTAATCAGAAACTCTTACATCTTAAACCTTTCTATATCCTAAGTGTTTGAGTTCTTCAGGGGAATAATTTGAGTCTTCCAACAGTTAATTGTAGCATGAGCAGCATGTAGCTGAGCTATTGAAACTAGTGAAACAGAAGAGACTTGAAATTATTTGCTTGTCTGTTTGCCATCATAAAATAATTTTTTATTATGTTCAGGAGCCCAGGAGTGGCTGAGAATAGGGCTCTGTGGCGTGTAACCACTGTGTAAATCCATTGCAGCTGAAGTCAGAGTAGTCAAGACCTGGGAGCATTGACAGTTTCTCATGAAACAACAGACAAGGGCTGGTTGCTGTCAGAGAACTGGGTGTACTTGAATACAGAGAAGTAACATGGGGAAGTGTGAATGGCATGTGTTGGTGGGAACTCCTTCTTTGCCAGAGTGTGCCTGGTTCCCAGTCCACATACCACCACGCCTGCAGTAGTTTTTTGTGTCCATAGTCTCTCTCTCCCCTGCAATTACTTTATTTTAGCTTTGCTGCATATCTGTTTCGTTCACTCTTTTCATTTCTGTGAGGCAGGAAAGGGGAGAAATAACTTTCAGAAGCAGCGTGACAGAAGAACTGACAGCAAGCGGAAGGGGAGGCAGGGTGAACAGGCAGCCCGTGGCACAGGAAAGAGGCAGACTTGAATACACTTGCTCTGCAAGTCACTGCAGTAGCTGCACCTTTTCCTCTGATGTCTGTGGCCATTTCCTTCTGATATGGGCTCAGCTGCAGAGGAATAGAAGACAGATGCCGTTTGGATTTGAGTTTCCTCAGAAGAAGTTGTCATATCCTCTGCGCAGGAGGGGATCTGAAAGACAGCAAGACCTTGTCTCACTCCCTTTTCTCCTTTGCTCCTGATTCCTTTGCTCCTGATTATTTTCTTTAGCTGCTCCTGTGTCTTTGCCATAGAAACAGCCACAGGAGATGAGAACTTGTGGTTCCTAATTACTTTAGTGGAACTTCACTCTCCTCGTTCCAGGCAGCATTGCCTGGAAATGCAGATGTTTCAAGGCAGCAAGGACAGCACTGTCAGCCTAGACCCTCCTGCATGCAGTCTCGCTGTTGGTCATGTGTTCTCTCTATGTTTAGAGCACTCCAAGGGAGATGTCTTCTGGTACTTGCCCCAAAAAACTTTGTATTATGTTTCCTTGTTACTCAATGAAAAATGGCCTTGCCTGGTATGGGTGTAGCTCTTAACTTGGTTCCCCCAGAGAACCTCTGCTAACCTTGGACAGGAAACTGTCTGTGCTCCCTCTATCAAACAGATAATGTTTCCTTTGTCTCATGCACCTTATCCTGTGTATTATATTCTGCAAAAAAGTCTGAGACATGACTTCTCTTTCTGTATGTGTTTTCTGCAATGTCTGTGGTAGACGTTGATCTCCAAAGTGAGTCATGCTGTTGGTGAAGGTATCACGCCACAAGCATGCATGTATTTAAGATTCAAGTATGTTGTGATAGTGAGGTTGGCTATGACTTAAGAAGCTGTTAGCTTTCTATACTCGGTGAAAGCTGTACAGTGTGCTATGGTATTAAGCAAAAAAATATTCATTCTGGAGTATCATTCTCCTGAAAACCATTTTTGTTGCACAAATGATTTTGGAGCTTGAAAGAACCCTCCCTTCACTTCAACACTTATCTTCAGTTCCAGGTGCAGCTCATAATGCAGAGGCCTTAGCTGCACCCTGTGTGCTGGCCAGGGGTGAAAGTCATTCCAACAGCAGATGCAGTTCTTTTGACCCTTGTCTGAAAACTGGAAATCACTCATTTCCTGGAAAACTTGCTATACTCCAGAAAGATTAAACTGGACCTTTCCACTGCATCTAGTAAGTGTAGAGATGGAAAATATTAGGTAGTTATTTTGCATCAGGTAGCTGTGCAAGCCTGGCTCAAGTGGTGGAGGGACAAAGTGCTGTCTTGTAGAGCTTTCTGGCCAAGGAACACTCAGGAGCAGTACTGAAGACCAATATTCTAGTTCTGGCCTTTGCATGTGAACGTCTCCTTTATGTCCTGTTTCCCTCTTGCTCAGAGCCTGTGACAAGTTAGACATTGAAGAGGGCAAAGTCAATGAGGGGAAAAGAGAATGGGGAAAAATGATTCCTGGATTCTGGCCATCTGGAGCAGGGAAAAGGGTCTGTAACTTCTCGTGACACCTCTTTGCAGAATGGGGGTCAGTTTTGCTTCCTGAAAGTTTCCTGGGATTGATTGATTGCTGTGCTTTGAGGGCTAGAGATAAAAGGCACAGAGGAAGTGTCTCAGTTTTGTTACTGAGATATGGAAGTGGTTACACATGACAACCATGAGGAAGTCATTTCAACTCTTTGTATGTGGTTTCTCTGTCAGCTGCAGAAGCTGAGATGGCCCAAGTGTGAGAACAGGGCTTGTGGCTTTGGTGTGCTGACTGACTGTAGTGGAGGTCAGTTTGGGAGCACAAAGAAGCAACAATATGGGCCAAGGGATTGTTTTATTTCACTATGGACAAAAAGGAAACTCAATAGAGGAGGGGAGGCATTTACTTGTCTCATCTTTCCTCCTTGCCAGAACTAGGTTTGAGATTCCTCCTGCAGACTTTTCTTGGCAAACTGAGGATTCCACTGTCTTCAATGTCATCCACTTTTGCTGAGTCCTTGACAAATGCCACTTGGACATGGAGTTTTTGCTTCCGTGGCAAACAGATCTTTGAGAATTTGATGCAAGAGGATGAGATGAGTTATCTCAGAGAAGCACCATGTGTTAAGTTGCTATATGTCTTACACAATGTTTTGATGAGCTGGAAGCACTTTCAACTTCTGGAATATTGCAATTCAGTTACAATTCAAATTTTAATAACTTCACATTTTGAGCCCCTGGGGAAAAAAAAAAGAAGACTTAGTAGGAGTCTCATGAGAAGATTTTAACATAAACTGGTGTGTGAAATGAATGAAGGGCAAGGGCCTGCTGTACACAGGCTCCTGGAAACATCCAGTCTTTTCTTTGTTGTTTTAGCTGAATCTGATACATCGAATAATGAAAGAAGTTTGGAGGAGATACCAGCTTCATTCCTGCGTCTTCTGCTTGTGAGCAAGTCATTTGTTAAAGTTTTCAGTTTGCCTTTTAAAATATGGGCATAATAAGATCCTCAAGAGTACCACTGCTTTGAACAGTCACTGCTTATGCTGCTGCGAATGTCAGTGTGACTGTCACCTCTTGTTCCTAATGACCCTGCTGGCCCTCTCTAAATTATTTTAAATATTAAACATTTAAAATTATATTAACCAAACATTTCTAGAGCTGGAGTTCAAAGTTACTGAGTTTATAGTAGTCCTAAGCTGGGTAGTGGGTGTTAAACACCTACAAAAGCCAGGTCCCTTATACCAGCACCCTTCCATCTGTTGCTGTTGATTCCAGGTGCTGCTGAGAGACTTGTAAATATGCAGCAATGGAGGGAGAAGGTGGGGACACCAGAGCAACTTTTTGTGGCAGCACTGGGCAGCTGGTGCTGTTGGGTGACAGACACCTCAGTAAACAAGGCAGCATCTCATGGCACTTCACCCCAAATGCAGGCATTTAGTGCACATGTAGTACAGCAAATTGACCATCTCTCCAGCAGAGTGTGGGCACCTCAGGTTCTAAATATGTTGCTGCTTCATTAACTACAGTGACGAAAGAGGAAGTGCAGGAGAGTTTGCGGTGTTCCACATCATGAGTCGGATTCTGGAAGCAGCAAATGGCATGTGCATGCCTTTACCTCCTGGTAAGTCCTATGTTTTGCTGTTTTAATCATAACTGAGGAGAGCAATGCTATAAATTCCTCCCCTGAGAGCACTAGTTGCAACATGTGTCAAGTTAGCTGTGGCAGTATTGAAATCTAGTCAAGACAGTTACAGAGGGGAAGGCCTTTGATAAACATGTGCAAGTGAAATGAAGCAAAACTAAATAGTTTTTAGAAACAGAGACAATGAAACAGAGGTTTCCAGTGGAATGCTTGGGTGCAATCTTACCTTAGAACTAAGATTTAGATTCCTTTCATTTCTATATGTTTTTAGAAAACTGGAGTTCAGTGTCTAGAGCCACAAGGGAAAATTCCTACCATGGATCAAAAAGAGTGTTTTTTCTCATGCTGTTGCCCTGCTAATATTTTTTCAGTTTTATCCTGAAAGGATTACCTCCAGCCTTGATAGAAAAGTTGGTCTTGATAGTAGAATTTGATTTCCCAGACCAACTCGTAATCACTTATGGTCTTTTCAAAGCACTTGCTTATTTTTGTTAGGGAAAGACTTCTTAACATCTTAATGCTTTCTGATTCTGATTGACTCTCTCTAGTTTGTATTTCCTGATCTGTCTTCAGTCTTTGAAACTGTTTTTGGTATGAGTTGTCCCTCAGTCCATGTGGGCACAAATGCTGCCATGCAGTTATGTCATGTGATAACAAGACCATTGTCTGGCTGATGTTTAATGAGAAACTGAAGTGTTAACAGAGCCTATGGGAATGGGTGGGTGGCAGCCATGTATGGAGGGTGGTGAGGCCTCAGGTTTTGATTAATTAGGAGGAAAGAAAGATATAAAAGACAAATTAATAAAACAATTCAGATATGAGGCAACAGCTTGGAGATGTTTAGTGACTCTGTATGACTTTAATGACTGTTTTCAGCCCCCTTGGCTTTTTTCTTTCTGAGGGAATTGTACTTGAGAGGACTTAAAGGATGCCTAAATAAGAACTAAATGTCTTGATAAACTGATTTCTTCACCAACTAGAAACAGTCAAAAGTTAAGGGGAATGATGGCTTTAGCTAGAGTAATACCAGTCTTTAATAGAGACTTAAGAAAAAAACTCCCATATTGTACCAAACAAGTTTGTCTCTTTCATAGGTTTTCACACTCTGCACTTGGGTCTCGGTGTTCGTTGTCTTCCTCTGCACACCCTCCTGCACTATATTGATATTGGAGTCTTGCAGTTGACAGAAACATGTGTCAGGAAATTGCTGAAAGGTACAGTGAGCATCAAGTGTTTCATTTGTTACCAGCCAGCTAATGGGGAGTGCTGCCCTTCAAGCAACTCAACTTGGACACAGGATTTATTGCCCAGGACACTCAGCTGTCCTTAGAGTGTTGTTTCAGTGAGGGCTGTAGATGATGGTGTTGCCTACCTGAAAGGGCTCAGACTACATGATTGGCCTTATCATAGCACACAAAGAAATATCTGTTTGGAGAGAATTTGAGTTTATAGCTTTTCCACTTGGGGCTTCCTAGAAAAGCAAATACTAAAGGCCATAATAGAATTTATTGGGAAATTTGTATGACTATGAAAGTGCACACCTATGTGTGAGGAAATTTGTCTGCTGTCCAGTCCTCAGCTTTTGCTTTAATTATGTTTGGAACAAGAGGAACAGGCCTGTCAGTCTGACCTCAGGGCCAGGGAAGGTCATGGAACAGATCAACCCAAATGCTATCATGAGGCATGTGCAGAGCAACCAGGGGATCAGGCCCAGCCAGCACAGGTTTGTGAAAGATAGGTGCTGCTTGACCAACCTGATCTCCTTCTATGACCGGTGACACGCTTAGTGGATGAGGGAAAGGCTGTAGGTATTGTCTACCTGGACTTTAGTAAAATATTTTACACCATTTCCCACATCATTCTCCTGGAGAAACTGGCTGCTCATGGCCTGGACAGGTGCCCTGTTTGCTAGGTAAAAACTGTCTGGTCAACCAGGCCCAGAGAGTGGTGGGGAATGGAATTATATCCAGCTGGCAGCTGGCCACCAGTGGGGTTCCCCAGGGCTCAGTATTGGGGCCGGGCCTGCTTAATATCTTTGTTGGCAGTTTGGACAAGGAGATTAAGTGCATCACCTGTGAGTTTGCAGATGACATTGAAAATTGAAATTTTCAATTCATTATAGAGGTGATATTTATTCAGAATATTTTCAATGACAGTTGAAAGTTTGTTACGCAGTTACTGATTGTTTGGTTTTTTGCCTGTTTCTTGTAGATCTGGATGACAATGAACAGAATGAAAAGCTGAAATTAAGTATTGTCATGAGGCTTCCTGAGGTAACTAATGACTTTGGATGTAATTTCTGGGACTTTTGAATTGATAGGAAGTTCCTCCTTGTGTGTAGGATCAAGCCAATGGAAGACTTGGCTGTGATTCAAATAGAGCCTGATTCAAATATAACCTGAACATCCACAGTTTCTCCATCTGCTGCTCCTGGCTGTAGGATACCCTGATAACTTAAATTATAGATTTGTCCATAGTCTTTTACAGTGTCTCCATGACCCTACAGGAATCAACAAGACTCTGCTGAATACTTGTGTGCATAAAGCAATGAGGGTTTAGTGGGGTTTAAAGGGGATTTATGGGGGTTTTGTGTGGGTGTTCTAGCATCCACAGAGCCTTTCTCACTTGTGACCTCTGCGTTTGCTTCTTTACACTTTATCAGATATGTTCAGTACAGTAAAAGCTGTGAAATCTGATCATACCACAGCTCTGTGGAGGAAACTGAGTTATAAGATCTCCCCTCAGTGAAATCTCTCAGCCTCACCCATCAGTGACTTCTGTAGCCACACAATAATTAGTTAGAGCTAATAACTGGTGCTTCATAAAAAGTTCCAGCAGAATGGGAGATAGACTTCTCCCCTTTTGCTCTTAGTGCACACCACAGGACTGCAGAGGAAGCAGGACTGCAGAGGATGCACATCTCAGTGGGCAGAGGAACACCAGGGATCCCCCTCGGGGAGTGCCAGGCTTTTCTCAACATAAGTTGCCCATTGTTTGCTCATTATGGGCTGTTATGTATAGTTCAAATGGCCAGAAGTGCCACTTGGGTGTTCCTCTAACAAAGGCTTCTTTATTTGGCAGCAGTTTTGAGAAAGGGTAGAGGAGGAGAACTCCACAGGATGTCCTTTGTCCTCTGTGTCTTGTTTTGGGCCTGGGCTGGAGAGCTGGGGTCAGCCCCTGGCCTGTGGGTGGGGAACACCATTCCAGCCGTGCTCTGACGAAGGCTGAGCTGGGAGAGCTGCAGGGAACGGGTACTGTTGGCTACACACAGTATACTCAGTGCCTTATTGTATCTATTTACAGCTTTGGGAAAAAATGCAGGGAGTAGTTTGTTTGCCAAAAAGGTCACTTTGGGGTGACTCGGACTATTTTCAGCAGGTTACATTCAGTAGATGACTTCAGTTCCATCAGAAGCAAGGATTTAAGCACCACTGAAATTGTACAGCATTTACTCAAATAAACCCCTATGGCAGTCTGCATTGCAGTACAGCTGAAAGGGAGGGGGGAAGATCTAGATAGGGAAAATGGAAATCAGAAAGTGGAGCTGATTTCACAGTATGTTCCTATTCTTTTGCTTGTTGGTTAGAACTGGAAGCTTTGGGAAACCTAGTTTTGAATCTCTTGCCTCTGGGAATGTGAGTCAATGTTATCATTTTCCAGGATGATGACCTGAATAATGGGATCTTAACTGTGTTCCCAATATGTCTCCTTGTTGACATTTGGCTTGTGTAAGATTGCTGAGAGTGAGCCTAAAGGAAGCTCTGTCCTGAATGGAACCTTGAGGAATGGGGTATCTACATTATTCTTTGGGGAAAGAATAGATACAAACCAGAGTCACAGTAAAAGATAAGTGGTCATTTTAAACCTCAGCTGATATTTAAGTACACATGCCAAATGGGACAGTGGCACTGGGACAGACACATTGAGTGGAGTACTGAGCAGTGAGGTTTTGATTTCCCACATTTTAGGAACATATGGAAATCTTTTAGTTATTGGCTATGAAAGGAAGGCTCCATGGCTACAGATGATGACATCTTGGCTTCTGTCATCAGTGTGGGAAAGCAAAGCATCTGTGTTACAGCCTGGATTTTGTTTCAGGTCTTTTTCTGCTTTTCCTCCTCCTAAGCTTCCACTGTCCTGTGTTTATCTTCTCAGGTTTTTGGGTTTTGTTTTTTGCTTACTAGGCTCTTGGTCAAAAGGTCCGCCAGTCTTGGAATCATCCCATAAATGCGAATTTAATTGCACGGAAATATGTTAAACTTTTGCTCGAGAACCTGGGGAACAGGCAGGTAAGACCACAGAGGCCTTTTTTTTTCATCTTGTGCTTTGACAGTGTTGAGATTGCTGAGCTTTCTTTAGATTGTAACACACTAATGAAACACTGAAACTTGGTACTGTGCAACTTGGAGAGCTAACCTGCAGTGTTCTACCTTACAGTGCAGCAGGTCTATCCCTGAGAGATTCTCAATCCCTGTGGAGTTTTTGCCACTGAACTACCTGACAAGTATGTTGACAGAGATAGAGAATCAAGGTAATGTTAATTCTGTATTTTGGAAGACCAGCAATCGTTACCCTTTGATGCTCACTTAGATGTATCCTGACTATATTGACATAACTTAGTTCTAAAACTCCAATGATGTCTGAACACATAGATTTGGTTGTCTTTCTGCTGATGGGAAGTGCCAGGGGACTTCTTCACTGCATATCCTTTCATCCAAATCCTCTTTACGTTGGATCCAGATAGCAAACCTGCATTTTTCAGAACCCATGTAGTAAAATGTGGTTTGTGTATAGCGTGGTGGTAGCTGTTGTGTGTTCAAATGGGGAGAGAGCGGTTTGGTCCTTATTTATGTTCCTTGTGGTAGCTAAGAGGCAGCCAAAATCAGATCTTCCACCTTAGAAAAGAGTACCCATATCCCTGGATTCGGAGGTATTCTGAAGTACCAGACATTTTTCCTTGCCAAGCCGTTCATTTTTGTGAAGCACCGTTCCCATTGATGAGAGTCTTTGCTTCATCCAGTGAACCTGAGCACCCGGAGGTTTTGAATTCTGCTGAACAAGCAAGGTGCCTAGGGGAGGGATTACTGGCTGTGCCTGTACCAGTAAGCAAAATATAGTCAGGATAAGGACCTGAAGGTTAAACTGAGATTGTCCAAGTATGGATATGTCCATTTGGGGAGGAAAAAAGAGTTAAACCATATAGCAGTATATGACCACGGGCCCTAGGCCATCTTATGCACTAGCACTAACACAGCCATTGTGCTTTAATCTTGGTTTGGATCTCCAGTGTAGAATTGGTTTGGAAATCCCTAGCAGCCTCCAGAGATGGTTTAGCTTCCCCCTGAGTGGGGTATCATTTACTTACATCCCACTAATGGGACAGTTTTTGCCATAGGTGAACATCCAAAGGACAGCACTGAAAGCTGTAGGTATCTTGGGTACATGAAAACACAGTTCTGTCTATAACCTCTTATCTTTTGGTATTGTAGATGAAGATGTTTAATAGACTGCAGGACTATAAGTGTATAGGAGCATGTACAATTTTGTAAATACTTTCTCACCATGTTTTTCTAGGTGTGCGTCCATATGAAAAACAAGACCATGTTAATGCAAGATTTGTAGAGGAAATGGCACTCAAGCACACTATGACGCTTTTGGGCCTCAAATATTCGTGAAATGTTGTGCTGTTGAAGAAATCTGTCGAACTGTGGTGATTGTGTAAAAGTATTCACTTAAATGCCATGTTGTTTCCCAAATCACCTGCAGTTTTGCGTAGCTGCTGGTATTGACATGAGCTATTCAAAACAATGTTTGGTCCAACATACTAAGGTTGAAATTACTGACTTCTAGATAAATCCTTGAGAAATGCATTTGACACAAACCCAAGTTTGAAATGTATCTATAGTTTCATTTTGAAGTCATCAAGTAAGTGGAACGACAGCGGGTATCAAAACATGCTGTGAAAATTCGTATTAATGGCACATATTTTAACAATACAATCCTGGAAAAGGCAGTCCAGTTGTACAGAAACAAGAACCAGTAACTTTTTACTCAGATTAATAAAAGGATTTCTTGGTGTGATTATGTAAAACAGGTAAAAATAACAAATCAGTTTTGTGTCAGACATCAGTAATGATGTATTCTTTCCTTTTAGTGGTCATCAGTTACCTTATGGTACTTCTGCCTCTGGAGCTGCATTGTAATATTTTCAGTTTTGTAATTAACACAAAATATCATCTCCTTAAAGTGCATGTGATAGATTTTGTTGTGGGTTTTTTGTCTGTTGGTTTTGAGGTTTTTTTAAAGATATATATAAAATATTGTAAGCAATACAGGATAAGAACAAAGCTTTTGAAATTTATCTTAGCAGTATCTTGGACAGAGTTTTACATAATTCTTTCTTACAACTTCTAGTGTTACAGTTCAAACCTCAGCTTCAGAAAGAAGCTTAGGGAGGCTGTTTTTCCTTTGTTTTCAACTTTTATTTGTACATTACTGAGCCAGTATTGTTTGTTCTTTTGTTTTAAGTTCTGAACTGTGACATTAATTTAAAATGGTTATAGTGGTTTGCTATGCAGAGAAAATTGTCAAGTTCTGCCATGCAGGATTTTCTGCAGTCTTTATTGGATTTTACAACAATTCTACAAAATTTCAGCCTATTAAACTAGAGAAACTCATTAATAATTTGATATATTTTGGAGGTTTTGAATAATAACCTCTGATATTCTCTCTTAGTAGTTTCCACTGATGCTTCCTCTTCCTTACCATTGAAATAAAAAGATCTGGTTCCTGGGAGTGACTCTGCAAGTTCATGGTCACTCTCTTGTCCTTGCCATCAGTGAAGCTTTAGCTTTCTCAGTAACTGCATAGTGGGAAGGAATATTTTTCTCAATATAACTAGAATTTCTCTGGGAAGCGTAAACTCCAGACTTAGACTGCAGAAAGCCATGTTGGTGTGTAAGTGGTGGCCACTTTGTTCATATTATATTAATAAGAGAAGATTTTCTAGCCTTTTCTTTTTAATGAAATGTATTACAACATAACCTCAGATGCAATAAAACTCTACCTGGAAAAAAAAAAGTATAGCATGATGACCACTAACTTTTCTTAACACTTTAAAATTGTGCACTCCATTTGGGATACCAGGAGAAGAGGCTTTGGATCACCGACTAGTTAACTGTGCTTCTGGCATGAAAATATACTTTGTTTTTCAATATGGAATTTGGCTGAACACTAACAGACCTTCCTTCAGTGCAGTGTAAATGCTGCACTGAAGGATTCAGCAGCTAGAATGGCTTCTCCTGCTTCAGGTGCTGTCTGTTGAGGTTTCAGATGGCTGTGCAGTAGATTTGCTGAAACGTCTCCGATCTGAACTGGATTCACTTGGTCTGAGAGGAGCCGGAGCGCCGTGGGACCTTGGGAATGGGGGACTTGGTTTCTCATCTGGGATAGAGGTGGTTGGGCATTGTTGGGCTGTTGTGTGGGCATGGCCAGGCACTGCATCTTGTTCTTCCTCTGTAGGGTCCTGTCAGAGAAACACAGTCTGATCACACAGGGACTGTGTGCTTTAGAACTCCAGTGCTCTCCTGAGCCAATGTACAGAATCTATGACAAAGGACACATCATTAGTCTAATCCTTGGCAAGCCAGGAAAGCTGGAGGGGTATTAAAAGCATGAGGTTTTGACCATGTAGATGGGAGTTTGTCCTTTTAAACAGTTGACAGTTTGAGCCTGTCGTGCTTTCATTATTTGTGAAGAAAACAGATTAGAGGAACTTTTAAAAGCTGTAATAATTGTAGACAGAACATCTCGGGAACAATTCTGTTCCTGAATAGTTACTGCAGTGAGCTTTTATGCACAGCACTGAAAGGAAACTGAGTCACAGCATGAGGAGAAGGTTCAATGACAGAGAAGATTCTTATTCTAAACCATTATTATTCTGTAGGAGCTCTCTGCTCTGGGATCACTGACTGTCTTAAGGACAGAGGCAGCGTCCAGCAGGGTAGGGTTTGAAGCACTATTTGATGTGCTGCCCTGTTTATCCTCAGTGTCTTGCTGAGCAATCTGATTTCTTGCTGCTTCTGATCTGATGCTCATTGCATCTGTTATGTGGGAGATGCTAAACTTATTTCTCCTGAATACCACACCCCACCTTTTGCAGCTTTACCTTGAAATCCAGTGGAAAGCAGTATTCCACTGCTCACCCATCAGCCACAAGATGGTCACACAAACTACTTTAATAATCCAAGGTGACACTTTTAGTATATGATCTCCTAAAGACTGAATTACCTGCTCTAAGCGGTGTTGCCAGATTAAAGCTCCACAAACCCACTTTAGGAGTTGTCTCTGTCTGTACCATGATCTGCACCAGCTCCTGGAGCTCCATGTTTCCCGGTGAGCGGCTCCACATGGAGCCAGCACAGCTCTTTTGGAAAGACCAGTTAGAGCAGTGAAGGGATGGGGCTGAACACCGAATTGCAACGCGTGACAAGAACTTACTTCAGCTCTGTCTTCAGCTGCTGCTTTGTGTGTCTTGTCACTGCCTAGGATCTTCAACCATTCCTTTTCTGTTTCCTTTAGAGGGGGGAGACCTTGACTTATCCTCCATGAAGCAATCATCACAAATTGTTCTTTTTCTCTCATTTCCTGCTGAAGTTGAAGAACAAGTGATTGCTTCATGGTCAACTCTGCAATAAGAGCCCTCCTCTCCTTGGTTTTGTCCTTTATCTTCCTCTGCAGTTCATTTATCTGAAATTCAAAACAGCTGCCTTATAGTTAGGGTTTCCTTTTAGGCACTTACTGGGCACGACACAGGTCAGCCTTAGGTGTCTGAAAACAAGTTCAACTTGACAAGGTTTTAAATATGTATGGAACATACTTGAAAATTACTTAATTTCTGTAAGCACTTGAAACCACAGAAATTGGCAGCTCAAGAAGTCAGATTTACTCCAATACAAGACACAGTAAAGCACATTCGTCATTGCCTCCTGCCCTTTTCAGCTGGACAGCAATATTCCCCCTGCCCTCAAAGGCCCAGGACCCCAATTCTCTTTGAGTTTATGCATGGTTAACTTTGTAACAAAGGTGAAATAAGGCCAACTCTTATAAGATAATTTAGTGATAATGCAGATGCAGAGGGGCTGTGGGTTGTGACATTATCCTCGCAAGGGACACAACTGAAAAGGAACGTGACAGGAATCCTTGAGTCTGACTAGAGTGGTTTAAAAAAACCCAACAAAACTTAAATACTCTTTAAGTGACTAATAGGGAATTGGGAGAGTCAGAGTACTTGTGAATGTAACTTTTGGCATGCTGCCATTGTTACAGTAGTTTATTAGCCCATGGCCATCATTTCACAAACACATGACCAGGATATTTCTCTGTCTGTGGAAAATGAAAGATTGATAATAAAAATCTGTTTAGTTTTAAGCCTTTCTGCCTGCCAAACCTAACACCTAACAAAAGAAATCAATGCTGGCCTTGTTTTACATTAATTACTTAGCATTTTTTTTTCTGCCTTTCCCTCAGCTCTGATCTATTTGCAGCTTTTTCATTAGGAACTTGGGAGCTGGGAGCATTTTTGGTCTTTCGCAAACAATATTACTGGCAGTTAAAAGGAAATAGCTGTCATTATATAAAAATAACTGTATTGAAAATGATGCTTCCTGTGTGATTCTCCCCACCTAAATAGCAAAGGAACTTTGAGCCAGGTACCAAGTTCATCTTAGTGTATGTTGGAGTAGAATTTACCTGGCCTTTCTTTATATCTTTTTAGCCTTTGACATGTTTGTTGTTAAGTACACATGGCAAAAAAAGTTTCTAAGCATCTACTTCAGAAAGAACTAATCCTATATTTTTGTGAAAGGTACCAATTATGGTGCAATTTTCTTTTTGAAAGAAAGTGCATTTGCCTAGTGGTTTTGGTATTATCTATATTATTGCTACTATGCATGTTTATAATTTCTGAAGAATAGCTTATGACTTGCCTGTCAACGTTTCCAACCACTTTTGTAATTTGCAAGTGAATCACCTCTTGCCTAGATATTATTTCATTTTGTATAGGTTTTCAAGTAGAGTGTGCAGTGCACTCCTTACCCTTCTAGCAAACAGCAGCATGTCCTGCTTCCCATTCTCTGCCTCAGCACGGATTCTGTCCGTCATTTCAGAAATGGACTCGCAAAGAAATTCCTTCTGCATCAACTTCTGCTCCTTCTGCAGCAGCTCTGCTTCCAGCTGCAGCAAGGAGGAGGACACAGGGTGTAAGGAAATGACAGGGGAAGGTGCAGCACAAGGTGTTCTTTGATTGCTTTGAGCTGCTGAAGTAATACCAAAAAACCCCAAACACTTTCACTATCAGTTTTCTCAAAATTTTCACCCTCTCTGCCAAGTATCAGGCCCAAATTGGCTCAGTTGGTTACTGTCAGTCATACAATTCTTCTATATCAGACAGGGCCCTTTTCAGGGTGGGGCTTACACTATTGTTACTGCCTTGTTATGCTTTTTTTGAAAGCAATGGGGGTTTTTTCTAGTGATTTTTTTTTAATGTTCTGGTCCCTTGAGTCACACCATAATGGGAAGGTTTCAGTTCTTGCTTTGTGCACTTTTTCCCTCCTGATGCTAAAAAAAAAGTATGGGCTCCATAAACTAACAAAACAAATACAACTACAATGACTTTAATTCCCAAGGAGATTGAAAGAGGTGTCTAAAGTTTTCATGGGTCCAAGAAGCCCTGCTTTTTAATGTGCAGGTTGGTGAGAGCAGGTTGTGTTGTGGCTTGCTTGGCTACGCAGAGCTCCCTCCAGTCAAGGAGTATGGGACAGTAAGGCAAAAAGCTCATGTAATACAAGCAGCAGTGTTCAGGGTATGTCCTTACAAACTCGATTTCAAAAGGACATGAGTGTGTGCTGCTCTGACTTTGCTGCTGCTGCCCGAACAACACCTTCACAGCCCTGTGTGAATCCCCCCAACACTAAACACAGTGGGAGGAGTTTTGTGTCTCTATAAACGGAACAGACAAAAATATATAAGAAAATACCATGTCTGCTCATTCCATTCCTTTACCTTCTTCCCTACCTCATACATAGGGCTCTGAAATTGGCTTTTGATTGGACCTAATGCTTCCCTCCGAAGTCTCTTGGGGCAGTCCCCAGCACTGCAGCTCCTGGGCTGGCCTGGCTGCTGCTTCCACCTGTTTGGTGGCTCCCTGTTCAGCAGGGAAGCAGACCAGTAGAGCCTAGCCCTGACAAGGTGGGGTGTTTGGTTCTGTGTCACACAGGCAGACTCTGTTAAGAGGGTGGCAGGTTGACCTCCTGCTCACAGCCCGTGTGTCATGGTGGAACAGCTCATGTCCAGTTGCCAAAGACTGACAACTGTTAGCAGTTTATTGTTCTGCATTTATCTCCCTCTGCTGCTTTCCTTAGTGAGGTGGGTGTGCACTGAAGGGACAATAGTGTGAATGGACTGGTTAGCAGAGGATGCAGTAGAGCCAGGTGTACCTCACAGAGCTCCCCTTCCCCAGCCTC